CCGGGTCGCCGTACCGTCCCGACCGGCCGGCCGGGTGGCGGGCTGGCCGAGCGTCGCCCGGGTGTGTGGGGCGCGAGCACCGGCACCGAGGTTGGCCCGGGATGGGTCTGGCGCCGACCCATTGTCCCATGACGGCTTCTGATTGGCTGGCAGGAAGGGGCCCCCCGCGCTCAGGACCACGGCCGCGTCACACAGCCGGCATCCATCCACCCCAGCTCAGAGGAGTCCCCCTCCGCTCCCCAGCTCGCTCCAACTCTGGGGAGTCCCCTTCCCCCCGCAGAGTGCCTGGGACGGTCCCACCCAACCCCCTTGGCCGGCGGAGGATCACCCTCTCTGGGGAGGGCGCTCCCACTACGGCCTTCTTGGAGGAGCCTCCCTAAGGGAGAGGGGGCTGTAGGGGTGGGTGCTTTGCTTACACTCCCAAATCAAGTCTTGCTTAAAATGAGGAAATGGCTCACAAAAGTTGCCCGAGGTCACACAGGCAGTAAACTGCCGCCTGAACACACCCCCAGGCTTGTGGGACTCCCACTGAAACACTTTCCATTTCAGGGACCAGGGCTGGTCCAGGACAGGTTCCTAAAGGCACAAGGCAGGGGTCTTGACGGTTCAGGCTCAGTTCTCACTCAGACCAGCTTTGTCCTCACTTGGCGTGGCCTTGAGCATGACTTGTTTCTCTGGGTAGTCTGGCCAGTCTGTCAACCGGCAGGAGGGGGTGCTAGTGAAGAGTACCTCCTTCCCTGTTTCACATCCTGGGAATCCCTACCCTCTGGAAAGGACCCTGCAGCTCAGGAATTTCCCAACTGGGCACCAGCTTCCTTTTTGCTGCTTAATAGAGCCTCTGCTCCTCCCTCCTTTTTGTTTGGTACCCCCTCCCCCTCAGGGCTGGGCACAGATCTTGAGGCCTAGGAGGCATGGCCTCCCCAGCAGGGCAGGGGGGAGAGAGGGGTGCCCTTTGAAACTGAGAACTTCCTCTTCCTCCTTGGGAATGGTGGCCAAGGGCCAGCTTTGGGCTTGGACATCGATCCTGTCCCTGGGGGGGCTTGCGGGGAGGGGAAAGGGGACTCCACCCCTTCTCTCCTGATGGCCTCAGGGGTGACATTTTTCAGATCTGAACCAAAAGTTACCATGCCCCATGACTGGGAGGGTCATCCCAGCCAGCCCCCTGCCAAGGTTCATCCAGCCAGACGGGTGATGAGGATGAGGACCACAGGGTCCTGGCTCACTGCCTCCGTGACTGGCCGCTGTGGCCTTGTTGTGCAATACCCGCATCTTCCTGCCAGGCCTCCTCTTCTAACCCCAAGCAGATTGGGAAATCACTGGAGAATCCAAAGCACTCTGGGTCATGGGGTGGGGGTCTTGTTTTCAGGCTCGCAGACCCCACTGTCTCCTCAGAGCCTCAGACCCTGATCCTCAGGGGCAGGAATAAGGCTTTGCAGGGTGGGTGCTGGGTGGCCAACCTGGTCCCCAGCTGCCACTCCACCTGAGTTCCCTCTCCGCAGCCTCACCCTGGGCTAGGGCCAGGGAGTGGGAAGAGCTGCCCTCCCCTCGTGTGGCTGCATCCATCACTTCCCCTTTTCCTGAGTTCCGGCATGGGAGTCAAGGGTCACATACGTGACGCCCCCAACACAAGGGAGATCCTCTGAAAACAGGGCTGCCTAGAGGGCCAAGAGGTGTAACAGCCCACGGGACAGACAGGACAGGAGCTATTCTTACCCACTCTTGACAGAGGAGGCAACCATCCCCAGGAGATCAGACACTTTCAGAAGAAGCCAAAGGCCAGCCAAGAATTCCACCCTCAGCAGGAAATGAGCGTCGGATGCTGGTTGGGAGTGCTCCTGGGCAGCTGCTGTCTGGTTGCCCACCTCCCCGGGCTCAGGCCGGGGGCAGCAGGCCGGTTCCACCGGACAGGGGCAGTGGACCCCCCAGGCCAGCCTAGAAGTCAAGTGCACCAGCACCTGGCCAGGAGCTGTGGTCAACTCCCTGCACGCAACCTAGGGCTTGGGAGGCCCAGGACACAGCCCCCACCTCCCTTCCTTCTGCTTGGTAATGACAGCTGACTTCTTTTTTTTAATTGTGGTAAAATACACATAACCAGATGCACCACTGTGACCATTTTAAGTACACAGTTCGGGCGCATTGTTCTGCAGCATTATGCGACCATCACCACCATCCAGCTCCAGATCGTTTTTCACCTTGCAAACCTGAAACTCATTAAGCACTGATTCCCCATTCTCACTTCCCCCACGGGTCCGGCACCCACCATTCCGCTCGCTGTCTCTATAAATTTGACTACTCCAAGTAGCTCATATAGGTGGAATCAAGTATTTGCCCTTTTGTGACTGGCTTATGTAATTCAGCATAATGTCCTCAAGGTTCATCCATGTTGTAGCATGTGTCAGAATGTCCTTCCGTTTTAAGCTTGAATTATATTACATTGTTTATCTTTTCCATCTGTCAATGACACTTGGGTTGCTGCCACCTTTTGGCTACTGTGAATAATGCTGCTGTGAACATGAGAGCTACTCAAAACTTTTGAACTCCACAGGTGCCAGGCTCTATTCTCCGTGTTGCATGCGTTAATTGATTTCATCAGTCTTATGAAATGGGTACTCCTTAATTATCCCATTTTCACAGGTAAGGAAATTGAGGCACTGATAGGTCCAGTCACGTGCGGGTCAGTGGTGGAGCTGGGAGCCCCACACTAAGCATTGTGCTATATTATTTGTCCCCCGATATTGATTAACTGAAATACAGCTTGATGTACTTAAGTCAGACACAAGGAGGGACTGCTAGACTGGGTAGCTTAGATGCAGTAATGGATTTTACTGCCCTCTATTCCTTTTTAATCTTTGAAAAAAATTTCCAAAAAAAAAGAAAAAAATTTTCCCAATCTCTTTCATGGCCCTGTTCAGTCAATTCATCGAGTCTTAACCCTCACCCCGAGGGGCAGCAGAAGGAGCTGACTCGGTTCCCGCACCAGAGAATAATATGGAGGGGGCCATGTGTGATTCATGGTCCCATTCTGTTCCCCTCCCAGGGCTCCCTGGAAGAGCAGAAGTTGCAGGCAGAAGAGAGCACATTCCGGAACAGGGTTCAGCAGGTGCAAAAGCCAAGTGGGGATCAGGCAGGAACCAAGGAGCTGTGGTCGCTGGGCCTGGGGACACCAGGAAGCCCTGGCCGTCAGGTGTGTACAGACCGTGGGTGGGCTCCCTGGGGACTGTTGCCTAGCCCTGCCCCCTGGCCCCATCCGTTTCCCTCTGTCGTGTGACTTGCACTTCCCATTGCCCTAACCCTGGCTTCCCAGTCCTGCTTCTCAGGCCGTCACCTGACCTGGGACCGCCCCTGGGACCGCTTACTTCCTGGAGATGTCCCACTCATCTGCACTGGGCAGAATCATCGCATCCTCTGTTGACAGGGGAGGAAACTTGGAAGTTTCCTTCCAAGTTTGGAAGACTTGGAAGGCTAAGTGGATGCAAAAGTTGGGGCCTTGAGGCTGAGACCTCTGCTGCCACCCAGCCTTCCCCAAGAGAGGAAGTCACTGCTCAGGGTCATCTGCAGCTGCACCTGACCTCAGCCAGAGTCTCCTGACCTCCCTGAGGACCACAGGATGGCCAGGGCAGCTGACCAGGAACCACCCTTACAGGCCATACCCTCCCACGAGGGCCCTCACCAGACCAGGTCTACACCAACACGCAGTGTCCCCCGACCCCCGAGTAACTGTTTACTTGTTAACGACCCCTCCCTCCCCACCAGGAGGAAGCCGGACCACACACTCCTTTCTGTGTTTGGTAGATGGGGAAAACAAGGCCAGAGGAGAAATGACTTTCACTGGTCCCCAAGCGGCCTGGCCTACCTCCTGTGAGGGAGAGGGGGCCACTTAGGAGAAACCAGGGTCCACTGGGCAACAGAACCCCAATCCTAGTGGCTTTCCAAGTGCAGGAGGGCTCCTTGGAGGAGGTGCCCCTCCAGGGCCTCAGGGAAGCTCCGAGCCAGCCCTGGTGGCCTGGCCTCTTTCCTGGTCATTCACAATGGCTTTCTGTGGCGATGCAAGATGTCCAAGTTCAGCTTGTATTCAGATCTGGGCTGCCCTGAGCCCAGCAGCCCAGAGGCCCTTCTCCTAAACAGCCTAATTTCCAGGAAAACAGCCTTGCTCCGCATATAGTCCTGCCCAGTGACAGGGGCAGGTCAGCAGGAGCTTTGGTGGGAATCCCAGTGTTGTGTAGGGCTGGCCGAGGCTGGGAGTGGAGGGAGGCTGCCCAAACCACCATGGGGCCTGCCACTTCCTCAAGCCTGAGTGTTGTAACTCCTCCTCATCTGACTTCAGGGAGCTCTGCACTCTTGACTTTGAAGAAGGAAGGTGTGATGGTGGGAGCTCCAGCATGGGAACCACCTGGGCCCTGGGGCAGTCCACCACTTCCATCTGTGTTTTTAGACACATTGCTTCACCCCGTGCGGCTTCCCAGTCGTTCCTGGAAATGGAGCAGACACAAGCTCGGAGGGTTGCCAGGGAAGGCTTGAAGGAGAGAGTGCGTGTAAATAACAGTAACTGCTCCTCTGAGGGAGTGCAAACTGCTGGCCAGGCCCTCATCCAGCAGATTTGCATTTGCTCATGTAAAGCTCCCATTTTTACTGGGAGATAGAGTCCAGAGAGGTGGAGCAACTTGCCCAAAGTCACACAGCTAGGAAGGTGCAAAGCTGGGATCCCAGCCCAGAGGTGTCTGAATCTAGGAGCTAATTCTTTTTTCTTTCATTGAAGTATAGTTGATTTACCATACTATATTAGTTTCAAGCAGACAACATGGTGATTTGATATTTTTGTAGCTTATACTCCATTGAAAGCCATTCTAGGCAGCTAACTCCTCTTAGGTTCCAGGATTCTGAACTCCTGCACCGAGTCCACAGGAAGAAGGAAAGCTGAGCACCACAGAGCAGAGCCTGCACAGCGGGCGCCCCAGACACAGCAGGGCTCCTCTTCCCCGCACCCTAAGATTCCCGCATTCAGGCCCGCATTCAGGGCTTCTGTCAGTCTAAGAGCCTCGGGTTCCCTGCCGTCTGCTTTCACAGAGCTCAGAGAACACTGCTGTCCCCGCCCCCCAACTCCCTCCAACAAGAGCAGGCGCTCCGCCAGCGCTGGAGATGTCACTATCCTTGGATGTCCCCTGTAGTCATCCCACTGGGGTACGTCCATGTCTCTATCCACAGATACTGCTTCTTGCCCACTCAAGGGTCCTGCAAGGAGCCCTGGTTGCTTCTGGGGCAGGACCCAGGGGAGACGGGAGTGAGGAAGCACTTCGCCAGACAGCCTTCTTGTACCTTTTTAATTCTGAACTGTGTGGATATGTCCCTATCAGAAACAAAGTCAAAAATGAAAACATTTAACAAATACACTTTAAAAGCCATGACTAGCTGGGTGGGTGTATGTGCTCACAGAGGATGGAAGGAGGAAGGGTTTTGTAATGACCCCATGGGACCCATGGGTGGGTGTGACCTGTCCACGTGTCAGTCCTCTCCAAGCATTTCACTGGAGCAGGGGCCCCGGGAGGCTGGGCTGAGGCCCTGGAGGCACTCAGACCTGGGGGGCCCTGGCTCCTAGCACATCTGCCCACGAGAAGCCTGCGCTGCCACCCAGCAGGACTTGATTCCCCCATCCCCAGAGCTCTGTGGATCAGCCCTCGTCTGATCGCCATGCCCAGCACAGGCCCACTGCCCAGCGCTCCACACCGACTGGCTGGGGAAGGGCAGTCTCGCCAGGGTGGCCCCGGAAGGAAGGGGTCAGGGTGTCCAGGCAAGGAAGAGGGACGGCTGTGCAGAACGGAGGTGACACACTAACTGCCACTTGCAGAGCGCCCTTGGTGCAGGGATCTCTATAGACGGTCTCATTTTCCCCCAGGACCTCCCTGGCCTGCTAGCCACTCTCTTCAGCGAGCCTGAGGCTCAGAGGGGAAAGGGCCCAGGTCACCAGCTGGAGGAGGGCAGCACTGAGACCTGAACACACATGAGCATGGTGTGGCCCCAGGGCTTTTCCAGCATGACACACTCAAGCAGGGGCTGGGTGATGAGCCATAGAGAACACAAGTCCCAGGTTGGGCTACAGTGGACCCTCAGGTCCCTTCTGTCACCCCAGCTATCCTTGGGTCAGTAGGTTGGCGTCATCCTGTGCACAGACCTGAGCATCCTGCAGGTTGGCCTCTGCCCCATCCCCTAGCCTGGCCTGGAGTCCCAGAAACATCTCAGAGCAGCCTCTGCCTCAAAGACCCTCAGGCTCAGGACCAGGGAACAGAGGCAACCCCCAGTCCACGAAGGAGCCCCAGGAAATGTGGGCACTGGGGGAAGCCACGCTGAGCTGAAGGAGGAAGAGCAGAGAGCCAGGCAGGGGGGAAGAAGGTGGCCAGGCAGAGGAGGGAATGAGGTCAGCTGGTGGGGCCCAGGACCCGTGCTCTCGGGGCAGATAAGGTATTCCCCTCCATTAGAGGGACAAAGACACTGGGCAAGGCCACCCCATCCCTGGGTGCTGACAGGGGCTGGCACATTCCAGAAACACACACACATGTGAACAGACACATACACACACACACACACACACACACACACACACTTCCCTATCAGCCAGACAACCTGGTGAGTGAGGCCGGAAGCAGCTCTGAGAGCCAGCCCCTGCCCTCATGCTTGTCTGGACAACAGGATAGTCAAGGAAATACTCTGGCTCTTCACAAGGCCTTGCAGGATCTGGTGGGCAGGGAGGGTCCTGAGCACAGACCCCAGGCCTGGGGTAGAAGGGCTAGAGGCCAGAGCCCTGGACCCGAGCCAGCCCAGGTCCCCTGTCCTCAGCCCACCCTCCAGTCCGCAGCCTCGTTGACTGTACCCTCATAGGAGCTGCCCGCTGGCCTCCTGCTCACCCCAGCTTGGCCTTGGAAGCCAACTCCCCCCCGGCCCCTGCTGGGCTCCCTGGAAAAAACTCCTGGGTACACGTACCAGCTTAGGCGCGGAGGCTTCTGCTGGGAAAGTCCTGACTTTCTGTCTCTGGGCCTAGAAACACTCAGGAAGACGGCCCTGGGTCGCGGACTAAATCCTCCCACTGCAGCATGAAGGAGGCTGTGCAGACCGGAGCCTCTCCCCAGCCTCCTCCACCCGCCGATGCCACCTTCCTCGGGATTTGCTGACAGAGCCCCCCGCCCCCGCAGCTAGGGTCTTCTCAGCTGTTTCTTGCAGACCATGGCCTGGCCAGGCCTTTGGGAACACAGAGTCACAGGGGGCCGAAGCCTGGCTTTACAACAAGCTCTTACTTCACTCTCCCCAGCCTGGGAGGCACGGCAGCACTCCAATTTCACAGCTGGAAAAAGAGGCACAGAGAGCTGAAGAAACCTGCCTACAGCCTCATGGCTGGAAAGTGGCAGAGCTGGGGCCGAATCCCCTTCCACCTCTGCAGCCTGGCGTAGAAACCAGCCCCAGGACCCTCAGCCTGCAGCCCAAGGGCTCAGGCAAGGCTAGGCCTGTCAGGGTCAGGGTCAGGACCAGGAGCTGCAGGAGGGGATCTTCATGATGGGTCTGAGGCTCCAATGTGGGGTGAGGGATCAGGAACTGCCTGGGGAGAACCTGGACAGGACCAAACCAGACCAAGTCTTCCCATACCCCCACCCAGCCTGAGACCCTCACCCAGACCACTGCCAGCCACTGGGGTAACATAGAGGGGTCAAGCTGACCTGTCAATCACTTGCCCCTCCCCAAGGAAAAAACGTCCCCCTGCTATCCTTCCCCTCCACCTGGCTGTGAGCATCCCAGGCTACCTGTGTTGGGGCCTGGTGTGGGGCAGTGCCCACCTCCATCCTCTGCTGGTCTCAGTTTCCTGGCTGACACAAGGACTGCTTGTCAGTGTCAGGGTTCACATACACCCCACCCCCACCCCCAGCCGGGAGCTGGGAACTGTAACCTCTCCTCTTCCCTCCTCTTCCTCCTTCCTGCCCCTCCCATCCCCCCCCACTGAATTCCCCACTTAGGAAGATCTGAACACTCCCTTGGCCCCCTGCCTGCCCCAGGCTTGGCCCCCAGCTCAGGTGCACCCATGGAGGGGGATGCCCCTGCACCCGATCCCACTCCCCTGTCTCCCTGGGAAGCCAGAGATTGCTAAAGCAATCGGGTTTCCCAGCAGCCCCACCCACAGGCTGGAGCCAAATTTCAGCTCCGAGAAATTTCAGGGCCCAGAGCAGGGTGCAAATTGCAGTTGGTGGTCAGTGTAAATTTCAGCGCTCAGAGAAGGGTGAGGAGGGGCTTGTGCAGGGGCCACTGGAGCAATCTCCTTGCAGCCCCACATCCAGAGCCGAGACCTGCAGGGTCAGTGCCCCATACACACACTTTCACTGCTGAGAAGTCCCTCTCATATCTAACCCAAATATCTCAAGCTGCAGAACTAGCCTAGGCCTTTCGTCTTCTCTCAGGGCCCCAGGCCTGCTTAGAACAGGACAGAGCGGTGCCTTCCCGGGCTGGGTGAGGCTTACTTGGCACACGAGGTCAGTGGACCCAGAGTCCCAGGGTGGAAGCCCGTTGTGTTCTGCAGCCACAGGGGTGGGCCTTCCCAGTTCTAGATGGACCTCGGTCTCCGCAGAGGTACAGTGGGCAGGAAAGGACATCACCAAACAGAGTCACTACACAACCTTTTGGCTGGCCTCTGGGTTCATGGGGACCCAGACCCCCTGCTCCAAGCTGACTTGGCCGTGCCCCTCAGGGAGACACCATTTTAATTCATGTTTATTTTAAAAATAAGTACTCTGTTCTTCACTTTCAGATTGGGGTGGTGCTGGACAGTTAGGCAGAGAGGCCTTCCCCAGTGGGCAGTGTTGAAGGGAACTTCCGCCCCCCAGACACTCCCCACAAATGCCTGGAATGCCTCTCTTGTTGCTGTTCCTCTGGCCAAGCAGCCATGCATGGCTGAGGATGGAAGTTCCATGACACGGGCTTTAGGGCTGGGGGCAGGGCTGAGAGTGCTTCCCTGGGCTCCTCGCTGGAGGCTCAGTGCCTGGGGGAAGGCGGCTGACCCTCCAGCCACCACAACCCTCTCTAAGGTGTCGGCCCCCTCTCAGGCCCAGGAGCACCAGAGACAGGTGATCAGCACATCAATGGAGGTGGGCACCTCAATCTCCTCGAAGAGCACGTGGCCCCCAGCAGCCCCGGAGCCCCTTGCCTTGGCCACAGCCCTCAGCAGGGCCTGGGCATGCTGCAAGAGGCGCTGGTTCCGACGGCGGCCCAGTCGGCGCAGTGCTAGAATGGCCAGCACATGGTCCCGCCTGCAGAGACATGTGGACCCTCACTGCAGACCCAGCACCTCCAGTGACACCCCAGACTCCAGGGTGAGGGGCACCCCTGGGCTCAGGTTGGAAGTGTGAATGTCCCCAGCAATCCTGGAGCTTCGTCTGAAAGAGGCTGAGAATGAACCAAGAGGAGCAGTGAAGCAGAGAGGGGAAGGGGCAAGTCCGATGGGGCAAACGGCTATGCAGAGGTTCAAGAAACCATGGAGGATTGCAGGAGGGGGCGATGTGGCCACTGTGGGTGGTAGGGAGGTGCATCCTGCCGGGGCGTTGGCCGACCTGGGAAAGGAGTCAGAGTCTCTTCTTTGAGCACTGTGCAGGGAGCCACAGGCAGGCAGCAAGGAGAGAGGCAGCTTGGGAGTGGGAGGCCGTGCCCAGGGGTGTGCGAGCTGACCCCCTCATCTCGAACACCCCGCAGGGCTTGAGCCGCCACCTCTAGAGGCTAGGGAGGGAAGGCCAGCCAAGTGCAGGAAAGCCCCGAGGGGCCAGAAGGGGAACCTCAAGGCGCTTCGAGGAGGGGCCACTCCCAGCCAAAGCCAAGGAGAGGGCGGGGCTGGCCGCAGGGAATTCTCCCTGGGGGACGGCGGGGCGGGGCGGGGGTGCGGGCGGGATGGGGCTTTCAATGGCCTCCCCATCCCGGAATCTCCAAGGCCATGGAGAGATTCAGGTTGGGATTTCCACGGGCACAATGACTCACCGCCCCCCCACAACACACACCCCAGGATCAAAGCCTCCTTCTGGGCTCGGCTCCGGGCCTCACGAGAGGGCTTTCTCTCGGAGGTGGGGGCCGCGCCTTCCCCGGACTCAGGGGGCCCCGATTCCCTTCACACACCAGGGGTGGGTACGTGTCTCCCCATCCCACCACAGGACTGAATGAGGACGGCAGGGAATAGATTTCAAGAGAAGGGCAGCGGGGATCCCACCGGGATCCTGGAGGTCAGGGGCCCGCAGGTCGAGCTGCGCCGCTCACGCGCCTGCGCACACAGGCCTGCGCTGGTCAGATCCCCTCCCCCCGACGCACCCCCTCCCCCGCAAACTCCCTCGCGCCTCCCTCACGCTCCTCGCCTGCCCACCTCCAGCCACAGGCACCCTTCTGAAGGCATGAATTCTCCGTTCCCAGAACCCCGCGGCGCTTCTAGAGGGGTACGGACCTGATGTCGGGGTAGCTCGCGATGAGTGTCTCCAGGTGCCGCTGGATATCGTCTTTGTAAGTCTCGCCCAGTATGTCAGCCACGCACGGGATAGCTTGGCCCAGCCACGTGGCCTCAGAGCCCTACGGAGACAGGGAGACGCGTGCAGGGCGGGCCACTCCCCCCACCAGGAGCCCCCCGGCTGCCCGTGCCTGCCACCCCTGTTAGTGCACCGTTGAGCCCTCCTGCAGCACCCACTGCGCCCGCCTCCCGCACCGCGGAAGGGGAAGCCGGCCTGGGCACTGTGGACTCAGTTGCAGCACAATATTCATCTTCCCTCCCCACGAAGCAGCACAGAGGTATCTTCCAGTGTGTGCTCAGACTGGTAAACCTAGGCCCAGGCCAAGAAGTCCCACTTGGAATCATACAGCGAGCTGGGGACGACCAGCCGCCCAGATAAAGGGGTGTATGTGTAGGGAGGAGGTGCCTCGGTCAGGGGTGGAGGGGAGATCTTCCATAGTCCCCGCCCATCAGTTGGGGCTGCGACCCTCCTTCCTTCCCAAGGCACTCCGCAAACTGCATGCAAAAGTATGGTCCCCAACAGACCCTGCCCCAGCTATGCTGGACTCCCAGCACTCTCCCTCTCTCCCTGCCAGTGGGGAGTGGGAGAATCGCTTCTACCAAAGCCCTACCCGGTGTGAGGGGGTGTTCTCACAAGGGACGAGCGGAAGTGAGAACGGGGGGGGGTGCTAGTAGAGGGTCCGCTGACTGGACACCCCCTCCCCCCCAAGAGGCCAGTGCTATGGGACAGTCAGATGATGCCCCTACCAAGCCCTGGAAGGTGTTGCCAATGGCCTGCGCCTCGAGGCCCATTTTCTGGGAGCCAGCCACCCGATCCAGACCCCGGAACCGCTCCTGCGGCTTCAGTGCCTGCGCCAGGTACTCACGAACCACAAATCGGTGCACCTCCTGCAGAGTTTCCTAGGTGGTCCAGGGGTCAGGGTCAGGGTCAGGGTCAACGGTCCCAACCCTAGGCTTGTCTCCCACCATGCCTCCCCTGGAAATACCTGCGCCTGGGGCGGAGCTACGTGCTCAAGGTGGCGGGCGAAGGTCAGCACCTTGTCCATGAGGGGCGGGAGCACATCCTGTGTCAGCCAGTCCCTGGTGCACAGGACCCTGAAGAGCGGCTGGGGGCAGAGGGAGTCTGGAGTCTTCTAACTGGGTGTCCTCCCCATCACCAGGCCCTCCCTTCGGAGCCCAGTGCCTAACTCCTGACCAGGGTGTTTCAGGCCAAGGGACAGTCTGTCAACAGGAAGAAGTTCTGGGGAGCTGACTCCCTTCTCTACTGGTACCTTGGTGACATCTCTCTCCTACCATCAATTACGTCACTAGGCCTTTCCCAGGGACTGCCGCCTCCAGGCCTGAGCCCCATGGGTGGCGTTTGAGTTTGAGCCTCTCGCCAGGCCTTGCCTGGGGAGTCCTGGGGAGGGGGTGCTTGAAGGGCTGGAAGAGGGGCTGTTCCTTGGACACACTCTTCCTGACTGAAGGAAGAAGGTAGGTATTTCCCATTCATTCCTGTTCAGCTGAGAACTTGTCTGGGTCTCCAGCCCACCCCCCAACCCACCACCCCAACACTGCCCCTGGGGTAGATGAATGCTGGGACACCAGGAGCACTTGCTGGGAGTGGAAAGTAGGGGAGAGAAGGGTCCATCCCCTTCACCTGAAGATCCCTCTGCAAGTCCTGGAGCAGCCGCTTCTGAAAGACGCAAATGGCAGCCACCAGGGGCTTCTCCAGTTCTTCAAAGCTTCCGGGGAACTTGGCCAGAAGATTGGTCCTGGGAGGGGCCAGGACAGGTGACAAAGGCAAGGGGGGACAAGGCTTGGTAGACAGCCATGCAGGCTGGGTGCCACACCAGCTCCATTCACTTAGACTATAATGTGAAGGGCAGCCCCTGGGGCTGAGTCAGGTGGAAGGACAGCGCTATGCCCCGGGAGCTCATTGTAGGGAAGGCCGCCAGAGGCCGCCGCGGTAGCCCTCTGCGTTCCGGTTCCCTGAGCTTGCGCGCCCTCTGCTGGCCGCGCCCCGCACAGCCCTCGCGGAGGAGCGGGAGAGACCCACCTGAGTTCTTCACAGGCATTGATGTTGGCGCCCAGGTGAGGCTCGCTTACCGCCTCCGACTCCAGAAAAGCCTTTTCAAACCTGGAAGCGGGATACGCAGAAGCCTTGGAGACCCTTTCTGGCTGCGCTAGGACCCCGTGTCCGACCCCCACCTCAAGCCCCACGCAGATCCCGGACCTTACGATAAGGCTCCCCCCTCCCACTTGTCCTAGGAGCTCGGACTCTGAGCACACAGGATGGGCCCTCCCCAGGGACGAGCACCGTCCACACCCTGGCCACTTCGCCCACCCCGCCCCCTCCGAGGATGCACTCGCACCTGGGCAGGAAGAGGCCAAGCGCCCGCGCGCAGATCCGCAGGGTGGTGGCCTCCAGCTCCGCGGAGATGGCGCCGGCAGCCTTCACGTGCTCCGCCACCAGCTGCAAGCAATGCCACGCGCTGAACGCGCGTCGGAGCCCTCAGTCCCGATGCCTCTACTCCCCAACCTCGTGGCCCAGTGACACCCCCAGCCTGCCCTGCTCTGTCTCACGGTTGGCTCTAACTTTCAGCGGCCCCAACCTGGAGGTCAATCCTCCCAACTTCCCACACCTACAGGGCCACCTGCCAAGCTGGGAGCTGTGCCCTGGCGCTCCCAGCCTCGCCATGCGACCCGAGGGTCTGTAATCCCGCCCCACGTGGGACCTCAGGCTCCCGTCTAGAGGGGAGAGGCAGTTATGACTGTATTTTATAGCTCTGGGTGTCCCCACTGCCTGAGGCCCAAACATGTGTCCCTCCTTCCGTGTCGCACCATAAGAACGTCCATGGACAGCGGGGAATGGTAGCGGCCCTGCAGCACATCGGGGACCTCGGCAGCCGCCCAGCGACTCTGCTCTAGCTGCAGGATGCCATCGAAGCAGCTTGCGATCTTGGTCTGTGCAGGTAGGAAAGGGTCCGCGGTTAGACCTCCCAGGATGGAGGTCCCCTACCGCCCGAGCCCTTTCATGCGCCCTCGGAGGCAAGGGCCACCATGCTGGGGCACAGGTCCTTGCCCGAGACCACAGGGTGAGGAAAGGCTCCAGCCAGGGCCGCAGCCGGCGCAGCGATCAAACTTAACCTGGACCCCGCCCTCTCAGGCCCGGCCCCGCCCCGGCCTTACCTCCAGGAAGCTGGTGTAGTCGCTCTCCAGTCGGGCCCACACATCAGGTGCTAGGAGCGGGGGCAACGGCTCCGAGGGCAGAGCCAAGTCCGGGGCGCCCAGGAAATCAGGACTGGAAGGCAGGGTGGGGCCTGAAGGTCTGGTCGGAACTCTGATGCGGCAACAGCAGCCCCCTCTCCTCTCTGGATAGGCTCAAAGCCTAACGCCATCAGCCATCACTGCAAGGCCCCAGTCTGGGCTTCTATTCACACACTCAGTCCCCAAGGCTTCCATGCCAAGCACCACCCCCCACCCGAGCTTCTGACAGCAAGATTTCCTGGCACTCCAGCAATCAGCTGTGCTGCACGAATGCAGAAAGATGGCTGTCCAGATTGTCAGATTGCCTCGGGAGTGACCTCTGCCCTCACAGTTGGGGTACACCCAAGACCGAGCTCTAAATGACCCTAAAACCATGCAGCTCGGGGACCAGCCACTATCCAGCCCACAACAGGGAGGCCCAGACAGGGGCGGATAGCTGTCTGAGGCCACAGAGAAGGTTAAGGTGCCCAGGACTTTGGTGCCCTCCTCTGGTTCACCCTTCTGCTGGTGGGGCTGTGGAGCGCTCAGGGAAGTGATTCCCCACCCCCATCACATTATGCAGAGCCCTGCACCAGGGCATCTATCCAAAGCGGAGAGTAGAGGTGATTCATTCAAATGCACGTTTCAAAATAGCTGGTGCCTAACTGGGCTCCCTGCCTCAGTAGCAACCCTCACTGGGATGCTTTCCAGCTTCAGGAACCCGCGGATGGGTGGCCCTTTAGGAAAACCCAGGTGGAAGAGCACCATGGTCTAGGAGGCAGAGGAAGGAATGTCAAAGGCTCCCGGGATCTCGGACGCCCCACACCAGCCCTCTTCCAGGGAGGAAAAGGAGAAAGGTGCCCTGTGCTCTTCAGAACAGGTTGCTGAAGACCACTCTGGTGGGCAGTGCCCGCCCTTCCTTGCCCTCCATGGCGCCCTCATCGGGGCCTCACCTGCTGTAGATATTGGCGGCCCAGTCCAGCAGCAAGTAGAGCTGCTCGCAGCCGCGGGCGTCGTGCGCGAGCTCCTGGAGGCGCTGGGCCACGGCGCCATGAAAGGCGCGCAGGTAGGCCTCCCAGGCGGGGAAGCCGGCCGCCGCATAAGCGGGGTGCACCTCCAGCCGCACCTTCTGCAGATCTTGGCGAACCAAGCTGCCAAGCTGCGCCAGAATCTGGGCCAAGCCGGATGCACCCTCGGCTGCCCCTAGGGCCTCCCCCACGCCCGCCTGCTGCACGCGCTCCCGCGCGCTCTCCCGCACCGAGTCCTCCCAGTGCTGGCGCCAGTGGCGCGGCGTGCTTAGAAAGTCGCCGTCTGCCGGTGGCTCCGGGTGGGCCTCCTCTTCCGCGCGCACCACACGGGCCAGCTCCACTAGCGCGGCCGAGTCCACGCCGTCCGGGCCCAGGGTCTCCCGCACGATGGCGCCGATCTCCGCAGCCAGTCCGTCGTAGTGCAAGCACACGTCCATAGCGCGCCGCGCGAAGCCCGTGGGGTCCTCCTGGAAGGTGCGCGAGGCTTTCTCGGCCACTAGCCGAATCTCCAGGTGCCGCAGCTGTTCGAAGGCCACCAGCAGGTGCCGCTCGGTGATGAGGTCGGCCACCGATTTGCCTTTTGTCAGGTCAGGTGAGAAAAGAGGCAGTGAGGGGGATGCCCCATGTAGGCCTGTTGGCCCTGATCTGACCCATCCGGAGCTGGGCTGCCTGGCCCCAGGGCTCCACTGAAGGCCTGCCCTGGGAGCAACAGCCCAGCTGCCAGAATGCTCCTTGGAATCAACTTTGAAGAGGCAGAACCCCCAGCCCCAAGCCTGGCTGAAACAGCAACGGGACCAGTCCCTGCCTTCCCTGCTCTGGCCCAGACATTCCCCCTGCTCCCACCCCTACCCCCAGCTCTACTGAGCTGGACCTGGTGGCCTCAAGGGCAGTCTTGACCGCAGATCCAATGGAGTCAGAGCTCAGGCTGGGCATGTCCTTCCATGCCCAGGCTCCTGCTCCAGTGTCTGACTTCAGCAGTCCTTGCTGTTCCCTGCTCTGGGCCAGCCTCTGTCCCCTAGAAGCCCTCTACTTACATCTGCACTCCCGCTTCAGGGCCCAGCTCCAACCCGTCCTCTCATGGGCAGCCCCCTGACCCCGCCTCCCAGCAGCCGTGGCTCCCAGGTACCCTTAGTGACTCTGTGATCTGAGAGGGACAGTGGCTGGTCCACCACTCTTGTTTGGCCAGGAGCCAGACTGGAAGCCACTTAATTAACCTCTCTGAGCCTCCCTTTTCTCATCTGCCCTTGTGGACAGGCTGGAAGAATCTAGCATGCAGTTGTGCAGAGGCAGGGGTGTGGGGTAGCTGGGAGGAGAGCCTGTCAGGCAGCCTGGGCCCCACTGCCCTACTTTCTGGCCTCGGTTTCCTCCCCTGCTTAGTGTTGTGAAGCCCTCACCTTCCAGTTCCTCAGGCCCCACCCCGGTGGACGACTGCTGGCTGGCACCATCCATGGCCCTTGAGGGCACCTCCTGGCTGTGGGTGGCCCCCGATGCCACCATGGTGGCCCGGGACTGGTCAGCAGCTGGGCCACGGCCTGGGGCACGCTGTAAAGTCCGCAGTAGGAAGCGGGAGCTGCGCCTGAGCAGGCCTGGGTCCTCCTCTGGGGCCCGGCCTGAGGCCCGCTGGCTCGCCCGCGAGAAGGCCCGCCGAAGGGTGCCCAGCCCAGGTCTCGAGCCCTCACGGTGGGTGCTGGGCGCATCCCCGCTGTTTGCCCGCCGAGCACCCCGAGCTGGGATCTGCGTCTCCGTAGGCTCCTTGGGGCTGTGCAGCTCCGGGCCAGAGGTCACGCTCCGCGGCAACGGCATCTTGGCAGCAGCAGAGCTGGAGGTGAAAAGGAGGCTCAGGAAAGCCAGGGTGGGGGTGCCTAGCCCTGGGGAGCAGACACAGAAACCCATGAGAGCCCTGGGGGCATGCTGGGGCCCAGCAGCTTGGTTAGGAAAGCTTTCCTTGGAGGTGGCCCGGGGCTGTCAAAAAGGAAGTGTCCCAGGCAGCTCCCATGGCTGGAGCTGTCTTTGTGCCAGGCTGCAGTCAGTGCCGACATGTAGATGGCTACCTCTTTCAGGAAGACTTCCTTGACACTGTCCGAAAGGGCCTCCCCAGGTACCCTCCCTCACCGGCTTTGCCAGGCCAGACCCCCCAGCAGAGTTGGAGAGGGGAACTGAATGTGCAGGTTCTGGGCACGGCCCAACCCGCAGCCCACAGTCCACAGGGCTAGGCCCAGCAACCACACCCAGGACTTCCTGGACCTTAGGTCCTGAGGCCTAAAATGCCCACCCCCTCCACAGCCCATTCAGCGACCCCCCAGCCCCTCAGCTCACCCCCACTCAGCCATCAGGCCTAACTGCTGCTCCACAGGGAGCTCAGAGACCCCCATGGGCAGCCACTTCGGGTGTCTCAGAACTGGAGGGAGGTGAGGTCTGGCCAGAGGGGACTGGCCCAGGCCACCGGGGACTTATCGGGGGCTTATCAGGGCCCTGCAGCCTGCAGGGAAGGCCATGGGAGGGGCCATGGTTCTATATTTAACCATGGGCTGGAGGTTCCCAACGCTGTTTCTCACCCATTGCATCTCCACCCCCCACCCACCCCCGTGTACTCTGGTTCCTGCTCCATAGAGGGTGGGCAGGGAGTCCCCAGGGCATGGGGGTGCGTAACAGGGGCTGCCCTGGCCCACCGGGAGCTCAGGGTCCTCACCACACAGGCTCCCCCAGGCTCCGCCCACACCCTACCGCTCTCCGTCCAGCCTAGCTGTGTTTGATTTTCTGGCTTTAGGTTAAACTAGGGGTGGGAGAGAGGAGAGAACCTTTTTGGTCTGCTGGGACCTGCCACCCACCCCACTGTGAAAGAGGGGTTGAAGGTGGGGGGGGCAGCAGGGTCTCACTTAAGCCTTGAAGAAACTGGGGCCAAAAGAAAGTCAGGGCCTGCTGAAGTAACTGACCCACCAGAGGCTGAGCCCCCAGCCCAACCCCCACGCCAGGTTCTCCCCACCACACCCCTCCCTGGACAAAAGCCAGGCTGGAACCAGCACCTGACCCTTGGGTGGCATTGAGGAGGAACGGCCTCCACCCAGGCCTCGGTTTGCCTGGGGTGGGATGATGCCAGGCTGGGCAGGGCCCAGACCCCTACCCACCCCTCATCCCCTCCAGCAAGATGTCTGTCCTGAGGTCAGACATGCAGGCGGTCCAACGAAACCTACCTTCCTCTCTAGAGGTGACTGAGCAGCTGGAAGGAGGCCCCAGAGGGAAGGGCAGGCCTGGGTGATTGATAGGGGCCTTATCAGCCCCGCCCTGGCCACAGGTCATTGTCCACCCCTGGTGCCTGGACTCAGGGACCCTGCCCTCAGACCTACCCAAACATGTGGGGTCATTGTAACAGGAGGCATCTGCCCCCTCCACCCACACCCCTGAAGGCCCCTGGCACCCAGCAGGGGCAGGAATGTTGCTGAAGAAAGACATGCCAGCTGAGCCAGCCTGATGGTGCCCCAGGCTCTGTCTCCAGTGGGTGTGGGGAAGCACCAGCCAGCCAGCCTTGGTTGAGAAGAGCTGATGAGGAAACAGGCTCAGAGAAGGGCAGAGTCTTGCCTTAAGCCACACAGCCCAGGGGTAGGAACCCTGGACCATCTAGGTCTATCTAGGAACCCAGGAGCAGGGGCTGGACTCCCATGTCTCCCAGCACCAGCAAGCCAGGGTTGCTGCCCCAGAAACACTTTCTCCTGGCAAAGGGACCCAAGGTGGGACAAAGTTCTAGATGCCGGGAGTGGGGGTCAGACTTCACAGTCTCCCAGGAAGCCTAGAGGCAAATTCTGGGGGAAGGAGGGGCAGCTGGTGGCTGAGTCTCATGGGAGGTTACAGAGACAGAGACTTGGAGCCCACCCACCCTGCTCAACCACCCTCATCCCAAACCAGAGCTGCACCTGCATCCCAAACCCACTGAAGCCCCAGCTGATCCCTCAGCCTCCTGTGCCCTAAATCCTGTCCCCACAGCTTCCCAGTCAGGCTTGACCTTCATAAAGTACAAATCAACCCTGCCTTAAACCCTTCTATAGCTCCCCACAGCCTGGCATTCAAAGCACCTCCATCCCAGACTGAGCTATCTCCAGCTTCACCTCTGGGCCTCTAAGACCTGCATTGATCCAGCCTCACCAGCTGCCTCTTGCATGTCCAGCCTCCTAGCTTCTGCTCAGGCTGCTGCTTCTCCCAGCCTCCCTCTCTGCTCCCCAAATCTGACCTGAATTTCAGAACCTGGGGTGCAGTTGCCTCCACCTCTGAGGAGACTTCCGGCTGTGCTGTACCACCTCTCAGCTCATCAGGCGCAGGCTGTCCCTGTGGTGATGGGACCTCCTCTCTGGCCTGGGAACCTCTGTCCAATGCCCCCTCCTCATCACCCCAGAGCCAGCCTGGAGAAGGAGTGAACCATTGGTAAGGGTCACCCCCTTCCCGGGCTGGACTGGTCGGGTGCCATGCTGGTGTCTTCTGGGCGGAGACCTGTGGACTCCCTGCTGACTCCACCCTGGCCTCTGCCCTGTGCCTGCTCCCCCGCCAGGGGGCCTCTCTGGCTCTTTCTCTCTGTCCCACTGCCCTGAGTGTTCAGAGAGGCCCTGGCCCCTGCAGCTGGGACTCAGCACTGGCCGAGCTTCAAGGCCCCATGCTCTCCAACCAGGCCAACACACCCACTGGCAGGGGCCGAAGTGCCACCCAGAAGACATGGCCACATTATCTGTGACCAGAAAGTCAAGCCTGGGTGTCTCCCACCACGTCCTACCCCCAGCCTCAGCTCCTGCCCTCTTCCTAGGCCTGCCCTCCCACAGTGGCTCCTTGTCCTTCCGGATATCCCTCAGTGCCCGTCGCAGCTCCCCACCTACCCTGGGCCTGGGCCGTCGCCCCACCCTTCACAGCTCCGAAGTGCCCACCTTGGGCAGGGGGTGCCTGTGCCCTGGGCCGTACCCTGAGCAGGACTGTGTCTCCCTCATACCTCCCCCCTGCCGCCCCCATCCCTAATCACAAGCCCTAACCATCCTCGTTCCTAAACCCCTTGGGTCCCAGCTCTTCAGAGCAACTGGGGGTGTTGCCAGAACATAAACCTCCCTAAAAACCCTTCCTTGCAAGATAAGATGCTTCTCCTGAAAATGAGGAAGAGGACAAGCACGTGCTCTCACTGTGCTCTTCGATGTTTGCCTGCAAGAACTGGTTAAGGCAGTAAGACAAGAAAAATGAGTAAGATACAGCATTGAGAAGGACCTGGTTTTTAAAATGTTGTTGCTAATAGGTGATATGATCTTCTGCTTCGAAACAGCTTTCCTATGCCCCAGAAAAGTCCATTTTAAAAAGGCACTTAAAAGGCTCCCCTTCTGAATAGCAACAAAGCACAAGCGCGCCCTCCACCAGCGCAGGCTGCCATCGCCCTCAGGAGAAGCACGGGCTCCTCCTCAGCTGGGCATTCGAGGCCGTTCCTAACGGGCCCTCCAGTTTCACCTCCCACCCACTCACTTGCCCTCTCTGATCACTCAGATGCATTCACCTCTCCTCCGCACCTTTGTACAGGCTGTTCCTGCTGTCAACAGTGACCTCACCCCAACCTTCTCCAGCTGTCAATTCCTTGAAGGCTCAGCACCAGGGGCTCCTCCTCCAGGAAGCCTTCCCTGACCATCTGAGTCCCGACCACGGTCAGCACCTCCTGCTCGGAGTCTGGTTCCTGCCCTGGGCATACCTTCTCCCATGACTGAGGGACAGGTACAGGGTCTGGGGCATCCACTCCTTGACCTGGTGCCCCCAGGGCAGGGAATGGGCCTGATGCAGTCCCCAGCCAGGGCTGGTGCGTGGCAGGTGCCCAAGGAAAGCAGATAACGTAATGTAGGAGCGTAGGCCCAAGGCGAGCAGTCACTTCTGTGCGAACGGGCTTTGCGCATCGTTGTGTTGACGTGAGTGTGCCTCCCAGTGTGTGTGCTGCTTTTCCAGAAGGTGGGTCAGAGGGTCTGTGAGTGGCTCTGTTCGTGAGTCCCTGTGTGTCTGTCTGCACCTGCATATGTGTCTTTATGTCCGTGTCTACCTGCTTTCCATGTCTCTGTGAGTGTGCACGTATGCGTGTGTGCGTGTCTGTCTGTCCACTGATTTGAGCTGGCACTCTGGCCTGGGCTCTGAGCTGAGGCCCTTAGCCTAGAAGAGAACTAGCAGAACCAGAATTGTCCTCAGGCCCGTGAATCCCCGCCTACTGCCCACGGCAGTAGGTCCTCCTGCTCCACCTGCACGGACAGACAGACGTACCTGCTGAGTGCGTAGACGCTGGGCCCCAAGCTGAACGGGGCAGCTGGCAGAAGCCGGCCAAGCCGGGCCCTCAGAGCCGGGCCCTCAGAGCCGGGCCCAGGCAGTGGGGCCTCTGGAGCAGCCAGGGCGAGTGACCGACAGCTGGGACTTCCCAGCGAGGTCAGCACCCGCCTGCGCACACCAACCCACCCCCAGCCCCACCCTCCACACAGCCCCGTACTTTCACTTTCAGAAATGCTTCCCCCACTTCCCATGGCAGAGGTAATCTCTCCAACCTTTGATTCCTGGCAGCGCAGGGCTGGGGCTCAGGTCAGGGGCCATGGGAGGGGAGGGACGAGGAGGCTGCGTTCTGGGGGGAGTGGCGGTGAACACTGCCTGTCCCTCCTGTGGTCAGACTAAGGCCAGAGGGAGCAGGCGCCAGCTGGCTGGAAAGGGGGCACCCAGCCCACAGCACCCAAACCCAGAAGGACCCTTCCCTCCAGGGCAGAGTCGCCAGCATCAGGCTGGTCGCCAGGCTCATCCTGGGAGCCCCTGAGCCCCACGTGGTGTGGAGAGTCCAGAGGGCAGAAATGTGGGGCGGGGAGGGGACAAAGCCACCATCCCAGAGGGCTCTGGGAGCTGGAAGGAGAGGGGCCCTAAAGGACAGACAGGTTTACCCTCAGGAGCGAGGAGGGGTGGCGTTCCAGGCAGGGGGCAGTCCACGAGGAAAGGTGTGGATGTGGGGGCCGAGCCTGATCAGTCGCGAACTCGGGCCCCACTGCTCCACAGCAGCGCAAGCCGGAGACGTTTTGTGGGGAGGGTCCCTGAGACTTCCCAGAAGAGACAGGCCCCACACCTTCCTAGGGGGATTCCACCACTGGCGTCTTAGGGGAAAAAACTTAGGGAAAATCCAAAGAGACAGATCCAGGCCTGTTGGCCCTGGGCTGGAGCCACAGGGC